AGATTATCTTCTGTGTCTGTGTTAATTGGTTTCCCTTTTCTTTGTTGAAGAGGGTCTGTGCAATCCTTCTGCCTAGTCCGCCATCTTGCCCCGCCTGGTGTCCCATGTTTTTAAAGATGTATCTTTGACTTGAATATTTGCAAGGGAAGCAAGATAATTTTACACAACAAATATCATCAGCAGGAAAACGTCTTTTGAATGAAAATATTTCCAAGTCAGCTGATGAGTCATTATTTAAGCAACATGCAGACTTGAACTTTTCAATGAAGGAATTTTTACAAATCCTTGGGTTTTTGTTGTAATGATCTTTAATCTAGAAAGAATATTCTTGCTTTATTGTTGAATGTAGACATCAAAATAATGAATAGAGTCCTTCACTTAAATTGATACCTGTAAGTTAAGGAATTGAGGTGAAATTTTGAGGGGTAGGCTGTGTCAAAGTGTCATCACTTTATCTTCAGTAATGCAACAGATAGTTGAGAAATGTTTGTAAAAGTTCAGCCTGATTTGTTGTACTTCTCTGGCACAGGCAATCTAAGCAAATGCCAGAGGAGTGAGGTAGAGGAGGGGAGAACCCTTTCCCAACAATGTTACAGGTTGAGATGACAAATTTTTAACCTAAAAACTGTCTTGAGAATAGAATCAACTATCAGGGTCAATATTTGCCAATCTGCTTGTAATCCTCCCACTTTGATTCACCTGCCTGTTGCCTTTGAGAAAATCCTAGTGAAGCACACCATGGAGCAGACACTCTGAGAATCAGTTCTACAGTCAGCAGTCAGAGGGTGAAACACAAATCAAAACTGGATTAGAGGGCACTGAGCTTCTCATAAGAGTGATAGAAATATTGGGAAACAGAATGCTGATGGTTGCACAATATGATGGAAGTAATTAATGTCAGTGAATTTTACATGTAAAAAATGTTGAAATGGCAAATGTTTATATATATATATATATATACTACTCTTAAAAACAAAACAAAACTGGGTGGCAAGTTTGGCCTTTGTTGTCCACTAAAATTGACTACTAAGTTTTCTCAGAAAGTTGTGGGCACTTACACTATTCTCAGTTTATTCTTCTTAGGTTAGCAACAAACTTCAAAGTCCTTGGATGGCTTTTCAGGTGGGGCTAGAAAGGGTGATGTTTTGAGGCAGAGGACCAGGCCCCTCCCAAACCACCATACCTTGTAAGCAACCATACCCTCCAATCTCCATCTTCTTCAAAGAGTCTCTTTGGCTGCTAGAAGCAAAACCAAGAAAACAAGAGTGATCTTAGCTTTCCTACCTTGCCGAACGATGGTTGTTGGCTCTCCTCCATGCAGACTGGCTCTCCCAATGGAAGGGCCACTGATATCAGTCCAGTAAACCATCTTGTCCACACAATCGAAGGCAAGTCCAATGATAACTTTATCCTGTAAGTGAAGACCAATGGTGAGAATGGTTCACCTACCGGCATCTGAGTAACTAATGATGGTGAGAATCTTTTCATGTACTTATACGCATTTGAATATCTTTTTTGAAGAAGTGTCTTCAAGTATTTTGCCCATTTTAGAATTTTTATCATTGAGCTGTAGGAGTTCTTTATATAGTTCTGGTAGTCAGCTCCAAGTCATGATGACCCCATATACAGGGGAATGAAACACCGCCCAATACTTGTATCAGTAGTGGATCAGACCTTTGTGATCCACAGGGTTTCACTGGCTGATTTTTAGAAGTAGCTTGCCGGGCCTTTCTTCCTAGTCCATCTTAGTCTGGAAGCTCCACTGAGACATGATCTGTATCATAGCAACATGAAAACCTCTGTGGACATTTGAGTGGTGGCTGTGCATGAGGTGCATTGGCCAGGAGGAATTGAACCCAAGTCTCCTACATGGAAGCCGAGAACTGTACCACTGAACCACTCCATTCATCTATCCCATCTTAATTCCATAATAGGCATATTATGGCCTCAAGCTCTTCCCCTTGGTTTTTGGGGAAAGTGACTTTCACAGGGAATTCAACCCACCTCCACTACCTGACATCATGTGCTGGAGGTTACAAATGAAGACTGATTATCATCCCTCAAGGAATTCGTGTTTTCAATGAGGCAATATGAGAGTACAAAGATCACTCATGTATTCATTCAACAGATATTTTATGTGTGCCTCCTATGTGCTAAGTACTGTCCTAGGGTATGTGGAAAAAACACCTCTATGAAATAGACAATTTCCCACATGCTGTTGTTGTTGTTACTTGCCGTCGAGTCGGATCTGACTCATAGTGACCCCTCCTTGGGTTTCTGAGGCAGCATCACTACAGAAGTAGATTGCCCAACCTTCCTTCCGAGGAGTGGCTGGTGGCTTTAAACTGCCAGCTTTCTGGTTAGTATTCAAGTGCCTTAGGCACTATGCTACCAGAGCTCCTATTTCCCACATATGGTTCTCATATTCTTGGTGGGAAGATATACATTAAATAATTAAATAATAATTAATATATCAAGGAGAGCTGAGGGCTTTGATGAAAAATAAAACACTATAAGGAAATAGAGAATAATGATGCAATTTTGGAGAGGGTGGTCAGGAAAGATCTCTGTGGGAAGTGATGGTTCAGCAGAACTTTGAATGAAGTGGTGCAGTGCAAGTGTGTGTGTGTGTGTGTGTGGTGGAGGGAGTGGTGAGAGACCTCCAGGCATAGGGAACAGCGTGTGCAAAGGCCTGGAGACAGGAATGTGCTTGACTTGTTCAAGGACTCAGCTGGCTAGAGGGGCTAAAGCTGGTGAGTGATGGGGGTAGTTGCAGTGAATGTGGCTGGAAAGGTAGCTGGAGGCAGGATCCTATGAGGTCTTTGGGGGCCATGGAAAAATGGGATTTTACTCTGAGGGCAGGGGGAGCCCACTGGAGAGTTTTGAGCAGGTGAAGGATATGAATCTAATCAAATAGTTATATAAGAGGCTTTTGAAAAGTATTTCTAATTTAGATCTATTTTTCTCTTTGTTTATGTTTCCTTCTTGAAAAGGAAGCAGTATGGCAATGTGTAGTGGCTATGATGGGGGATGAATGTTGGAATCAAAAATAGGGACAGTAGGAAACAGTGGAGAAGAGAAGAGAAAGGAGAAGAGAAGAAGATCTGAATGCTGGGCCTATAGAGACAGGATGGCACAAGTAGCATTTTTACCAGAAATTTTTCAGAAGGCTCTGCTGAGGATTGAGGAGGATTTCTGCAGGGTTTCATTCACAAGGGCAGTATGATCTCTGCCCCTACTCCCTCTTTCTGCTCTATGGTCCCTGGTGTCCCCACTCATTGCTCTGGCCACTGTGACCCAGTTCTAGCACCAGGAAGCCCCACAACTGTGATGTCTGACTTCTTGGCAGAAGGTCAGGATTGCAGAGAAAATAAAAGGGTTTTTCAGAAGTGTCCCACTCTATCTAACAGATAAAAATTCCCAATTCACTAAATTTATTTTTGAAGCTTTCAAAAGCCTCTAAGCTAAAGTGTGTTATCACCTCTTGGCAGATATGAGAACCTGTGGCTGAAAGATGAGTTTCTTTATTTTAGTAGCAATGGAAAGATCAAACCCAGCAGATGCACACAGATAAAATACAAAGCTCACAAAAAGCCCTTCCCAGGGGTCAAATATCCATAAGAACTTCATATTTTGGCTCCATCTCACCAGAAGACTCACAGAAGCTCAGAAGTACAATATCCTCACCTAGAGATGGACCCCTGGTCACACAAAATGATGAGCCCCCTGGCTCCAGGGCCCCCCCTGGGTTCCTGGTCTAACTATGACCTGTTGATCTCTCTAATGCACCCAAAGTGGAAGTTGTCACCATGAACAATGAGCCAGCACTCACCGGGGCATGAAGTAGTGCTTTGGCTTCAGTCTCCTTCATTGTATTTCCCTCCAAGGGGAGACACTCTATCTTCCCAGTCTGGGCAAAGAGCAAGTGGGTCCCAGGTGGCAGAGGGATCACAGCAGTAGGAACTGAGGGTCCATGGTGAGTTGGGGGTGTCACTGTACTGAGACCTGTGGGCAGGAGATGCCAGTGAGCAACACCTGAGGGCACCAGGTATGTGGGTTTGCACACTGCCACAGGGTATTGTAAAACAAGCTCACAGAAACTTCCGTGGTTGTCTGCACTTTACATTCTAAAATTGATCTCCATCTAAAGGTCTGTGGGCACAATTGGGATGGAGGTAAGTGCTGCAAAGATGAGAACAGGGCTGACCTACCTGAGGAAAGATGCCTGGGCAAGGGCTCAGGTTGTCTCCACCATCCTTGTGATGATATGCCAACATGGAAATATCTTGAAGCCTTACCTCCCATGCAGAGTTTACCCCATATCCAGGGCACAGGTATTCAACCTGCTGTCAACTGTCAGTATAGCAAACCAGGGGCCCAAGGGTTATTTAAACAAAGCTCATTTTTGCACAGAAAGAGAACAGGAAATAGGTAAGTGGAAAGAAAATGCAGAGAAGGAGTGAATGAAAAGGGGGATAAGGAGGAGGGGATAAGAGGGGAGACTGTCTGGAGAGCAGAAACAGAATAGGGTTCAAGCTGCAGAGTGGTTCAAGACTAAGGGTCATGCAGAAAACAACCCCCCCCCCACACACACCCCAATGAAGAAATGTACGTGGCTGGCGGGCCTTGCAATGTCATTGTCATTCTTGCCTTGGAATGCTGGGCCACCATTGTACTTACATGGGGGCTGTACTCCAGGTCTAGTCCTGGAACCCTCGATCTCGCGGCCATCCCGGTCCACACACCAGCAGTGTCCAGTGCTGCCGTGGCACTGAGTGGGTGCGTAGTACCCATGCTCATCACACTCGGGGACAAACAGCCCTGGGAGTTTGGGCTGCTGTGGGTCCACAGCACCTGCTGCCCCAAGAATGTGCTCACGCTCATGCTGGCATCTGGTTTTCTCCACTTCTGTTCAAGAGGTAGTAAAAGAAGGGGCAATTAGCTCTGCATCCCCATTCCCAGGCCACAGGCTATCCCACTGCACTCACTGTGAACCACCACTAATATCTATGGTGTTTTTGTTCTGTTTTAGCTTTTATTTTGATGTAATATATATAACAAAATATTTGCCATTTCAACCATTTTTACATGTACAATCCAGTGACATTGATTACATTCACTAAGCTGAATGTGCAATCATCACTAATATCCATTCCCAAATTTTTCATCACCCAGGGGTTTCTGGGTGGCACAAAGGGTTTCAAACTTGTCCAGTGAACCCCTGGAAGAAAGGCCTGCAATCTGCTTCTGAAAGGTAAAAACCTTGAAAATCCTATGGAAGAGTTCTACTCTGCACATATGGCCTTGCCATGAGTTGGAATTGACTTGAAGGTCACCAACAAAAACAAACAAACACTCTGGACCCAGGTACCCTGCCCTCAGTTGCTTTTTGGGCTGGCAGGAACTCCTCTGGAACCAAGTGCCCTGCTCCCTGCTACCAGCTTGGTCAGCAAGAACACTGCCTGGGTGCCCTATGCCCCCAGCTCCCCCCCCCCTTTTTCCCTGCCTTTTTTTCTTTCTCTTCCCTGGTTCCTCTTCTTCTTCTTCTCCCCCTTCTTTTTCCTTGTTTCCTTTTTTTCTTCTTTTTCTCTTTCCATTTCTCTTATCCCTTGTTTCTGTTCCCATATTTTGTTTTTTCTTTCCTATTTTTTCTTTTGCTCTCCCTCCAGGTTTTTTTCCTCTTTGACCTTTTCGTGTTTCATTTTTTCCTTTTTCTTTTCATTTTTCCCCTCTTTTTGTGGTTGTTATTGTTTATTTGTGTGTTTTGTTCTCTTATTCTTATTTCTATGTTTTTTTGTTTTGTTTTTTCATCCCATCCAGTGAGAAGCCACAATCATGCTCACATGACACAACCACATCTGCATCTCCTGCAGCCCCATCCACTGGGTGAAGACCACTACCTGCTTTGACACCAACTGATCAATGACAGACAGCAGTCAATGCCAGCCTAATATGCCCTCAACTGCTCTTCACAAACAGCAAACAGAGAATGATTCACACTTCCTTATCCTCCATCACATGCACCAGGAGATAAATGGTGAGTTCCTAAGTATTGGCAAACTAGTGAACAGAATAGTACACGAGTCTCACTTACTCAGATAGATTAAAACAAAATAAAACAAACAAACAAACAAAAATTAAAACCCACCTGGGCCAATCATGCCAACATACAATCACCAATTAAATACAAATACAAAAATCACAATATCTTGGAGACAACTGACAATCCCAGTTCATACAAAGAATCAAGATAAAATAGCACAAACAAGGGACCAAAATGCAGAGCCAAAAAACCTCCCTGAGGAATAAATAGCATTGGAACTACCTGAAAAGGAATTCAAAAGAATTATATTTCAGTAACTTCAACAGATTGAGAAGGAGATCAAGGAAAATACTGACAAAATTAAGGAAAACAGACAAAACTATGGAAGAATTCAGGAAAAGAATACAAGAACCAAATGAAAAAATTACAAACCATATAGGAAAAACAAAGAGATATTTAGAAGATTAATACTAAGATTTCAGAAATAGATAATACATTGAAGGGGCAAAGGAGTAGAATTAAATCAACAGAAGACAGAATTGGCAAGATTGAAGACACATTTCTCAATATTATTTTGTTAAGGGAACAATCAGAAGAAAGAGTGAAAAAGAAAAATTAAGACAGTTTAAGATATATATGGGAAACCATAAAGAAGAATATCTTATGTGTGATTGGAATTCCAGAACAGGAAGAGACAAATAAAACCACAGAGAAAATTGTCAATGTTTCATTGAAAGAGAACTTCCTTAATATGATGAAAAATGAGAAGAAATGCAATTAAGATGCTCAAAGAACCACAAACTGGATAGACCTCAAAAGAATATCACCCTAACATATCACAATCAAACTTTCCAAAACCAAAGACAAAATAAAAATCCTAAGAGTAGCTTGGGGAAAATGAAAAATTAACTACAAATGGAACCCAGTAAAGCCAAATAGGAATTCCTTTACAGAAACCATGCAGGAGAGAAAACAATGAGATTACATATTAAAACCCTGAAAGAAAAAAAAAAAATCCCAACCAAGAATTATCTGCAGAGCAAAACTGGCCCTCAAATATGATGGCCAAATTAGGTTATTTTCAGACAAACAGAAAACAAGGAATTTATAAAACCTAGACCAACCTTACAATAGATGCTAAAGGAGTCATTTCAATAGAGAATCAACAACAGGACACAACACATATGCCAACATCACCTAGAAACCAACTCAGACGTAGAAGTATCCAAAGTAAAATAAACTTACAAGACTGAAAACAGGAACCAGAGACATCAATTTGTAAATGAGTACAACTGTAAAGCAAAAAGAAGAAATTTCAAAATGGAAAGGAAGTCAAGATGATTTTGCGATAGAACAGACTGTTTTACACTTGTGAAGAAAATGATAAATCACAGTGTAACCTCAAAGAATATTAATAAACCTTTCATCAAAATGAAAAAGAGGAAAGCTGTATTTAGTAAATACTAAAACAACAGCAATGAAGGAAATGTTAAGAAAACCCATAATCAAAATGAGCTCAGCACAGAAAATTACATGGAAAAAAGAAATCAGTAACACCACAAAAAAACACATAGTAAATGAACAGTAATAAATTCATACTGTCAATAACTCCAGTGTATATAAATGGATCAAATGCACCAATCAAGAGACAAAGTTTCAGAATGGGAAAGAAAGCATGACTCATAAATATGCTGTCTACAAAAGACACAGTAGACACAAAGACAAAAATAGACTAAAAATCAGAGGTTGGAAAAAATTATATAAAGAAAATGGCAATAAAAAAAGAGCAAGAGTGGCAATATTAATTTCTGATGCAATAGAATTTAAGACAAAAAAACATCACAACACAGAAGGAAGGACATTATATAGTGTTAAAGGATTTACCAAACAAGAAGATATAACCATAATAACTATCTACATATACAATGAAAGAGCCCCAAAATACATAAGTCAAACTTTAACAGAATTGAAAGGAAAAACAGACAACTCCACAATAATAGAAGACTTTAATACCCCACTTTCAATGAAGAATAGAACTAGAAAAAACTCAAAAAAACCCCAAAAGAGCTAAACAATACAATCAACCAACTTGACTTTATAGACATACAGAACACTTCACCTAGTAACAACACACTATACATTCTTTTTCAGCACATATGGAACATTCTCCAGAACACATCATGTTAGGCTACAAAGCAAGCCTCCATAAGCTTAAAAACATCAAACTACTGCAAAGCATCTTCTCAGATCATAATGTTATAAGATTAGAAATCAACAATAGAAAGATCAATGAAAAAAAGCAAACACATAGAAACTGAATAACACCCTACTTCAAAGCTACTGGGTAATAGAAGAAATAAAAAATGAAATAAAAAATATCTTGAATCCAATGATAATGAAAACATAATATACTAAAATCTTTGGGACACAGCAAATCAGGGCTCAAAGTACAATTTATAACAATAAATGCACACATCAAAAAAGAAAGTGCCAAAATCAACACCTTAACCCAAAATATTCAACAATTAGGAAAAGAGCAGCAAAAAACAAAAACAAACAAACAAACAAAAACCTATTGTCACTCAAAGAAAGAAATAATAAAGATTTGAACAGAAATAAATGAAACAGAAAACAGAAAAACAATAGAATCAACAAGACTAGAAGATGATTCTTTGAAGAGATTAATAAACTAAAATTAACAAACCAGTGGCACATTTAACATAGGAAAAGAAGGAGAAGATGCAAATAACATAAATAGAAATGAAATGGATAATGTCACATCAAAATAACTGAAACAAAAAGGATAATATCAAGATACTATGAAGAATCGTACGCCAACAAGTTAGAAAACCTAGACAAAATGGACACATTTTTAGAAACTTCACACTCACTGCCATTGAGTCTATTCTGACTCATAGTGACTCCCATTGGGTTTCCAAGGCCGTTAATCTTTACACAGGCAGACTGCTCCAGCTTTATTTCATGAAGTAGCTGGTCAGTTTAAACCATCAAGTTTTGGTTAACACCCAAATGCATTAAAGACTACATCACCAGAAATTTTTTTCTAGAAACATACTACCTACCTAAACTAACAAAGATTGAGGTAGAAAATTTGAACAGCCCATAACAAAAGATGCAATTGACTAGGTCATTTTTTAAAAAATGATAATGATAATAATAATAATAATAAAACTACCAACATAAAAATGTTTTCCCACATATGACTTCATTAGCAAATTCTACCAAACATTTAGAGAAGAGCTGACACCAATCCTACTCAAACTGTTCCAGAACATAGCAAAGGAGGGACTCTTGAATTCATTTTATGAAGCTAACATACCCTTGATACCCAAAACCAGGCAAAGATACCACTGAAAAATAAAATTATAGTTCAATATACTTCATGAACATAAAAATTTTCAACAAAATCCTGTCAATAGAATCCAACAACATTTGAAAAAAATAATACATCATGACCAAGTGGGATTCATAACTTGAAGGATGGTTCAACACTAGAAAAACAATCAACATAATCCATCACATAGATAAAACAAAGGAACAGAGCCACATCATCATATCAATTGATACAGAAAAGGCATTTGACAAATAACACATGATCCAACACCCATTCAACATAATTAAGGACATATATACAAAATTAACAACCAACATTATTGTCAATGAGGAGATAGTAAAAACATTCCTCTTACAAACGGGTACTGGACAAGGATGTCTTTTATCATCACTCCTATTCAATGTAGTGTTAGAAGTCCTTGTCAGAACAATAAGGTGAGAAAGGAAAATAAAACACAAACAAATTGGCAAAGAAGAAGTAAAACTCTCTTATTTGCAGATGATGTGATCT